GCTGAGGTGAGGATCCTGTGGGCCAAGACTTCCCACCCAGAGTGCAGTTTCCACAAGACCCCCTACTTCCTTTACCCACACTCTGCACCCCAGGAACCACAGCTCTGCGTCAGCGTCCCCATGAAGAGCCCTCCCGCTGGCTGGAGCCCCCAGCAGAGCAGCCTTCCCATCTGACTGCTGCAGGGCAGGAGCAGGAAGAGTTCCTGCCCAGGGCCATCTCCCTGCAGGCACAGGGCCTCCTGGCCACTGCACTCAGCTCCGAAACCGCTCCTGCAGAGCTTCCTACTCCTCCCTTCACTTTAGTGAGCAAGAGCAAGCAGTGTGAGCACACACGGTCACTTGCCCCGTGCAGTCACCACACTGCAAGCCTGGAGGGGCAGCAAGCATCCTCCCGCTTCCTGGGGACAATGGCAGCTGCACGTCCAGTCCAAGGCAGAGCTGGCCTGATGATGGGAGGTGTCCTCGGGAGCTCCCGCCCTTCTGGGGGAGTCCTCGCCCCTTGTGTCCCTTGGAAGAGATGGGCTTGGCTGCTGTCCCCACCCATGGCACTCACAACCACAGCAGCTCTCTGTTCTCAGTCCCTGCCAGCAGAGGAGGCCAGGATGCCCCAAGCACAAAGGGCAGCTCCTGGTCATCCAGCTGGCTACTGGATGCAGTTGGCCACGGGGACAGTGCAGCTCACGGCGCCTGCCAGCCCTGACAGTCATAGCCCCAGTGCCTGCCAGGGAAACGCTTACCAAGGCTTCTTAGACTTCCCAATCCGGACTCACAACTGCCTCCAGGGACTGTCACCATCTCAGCTTACTGCCCTCCCAGAGGCGGGCCCAAGGCCAGGGGCCAGCACACAATGACCCAGCACCCAAAACTGTGCCTGATTGCAGAATGGGAGCACTTTACAGGCACACACACACACAGGAACAGAGTGCAAACACACGCAGGTACACACCCACATACACACCTCACATGCAGATGAAAGGTGAGAGCAAAGCACAGTGAAGGGGACGCAGACTCGCCCAGCAGAGCAGTCAGCGCGTCTGAAGCCTGCTCGCGGTCATCACCCAGAACAAAACACAGAGAGGAAGGCTGAAAAGACAGCAAGACTCCTGGGGGTGGCCCAACATCCAGGTCCAGAAGCCACAGCCGAGAGAGAATATTCCTGCTCCCAGCACTGGGCAAGCTGTGAGTTCAGGGCCAGCCTGGGCTACAAAGTGAGCTCAAGGCCAGCCTGAAGTGCATGGCGAGACCCTGTCTCAAAGATAAAAACAAACAAACAACAACAAAAAAAAAGGAGAGAGAGAGAACGAGCACAAAAATGTCTGAAGAGCTCATGGATGAAATTTCTTTTAAAATAATGAAAGGCATCAAACCACAAACCCATGAAGCTCAGCGAATCCTGAGCAGGATAGTTAACTACACTGAAAAATCAAACGTACAGCGAAAGCCTTCGCCTGACTCCAGAGCGATCAGAGGACACTGCTTCCTGTCCCCTGCCAAGTCCCCTTCCTAGGCTTGCTCCTCTCCACCGTCCACATGTAACAGGGGTCACCAAGACACCCTCATGCGGGACTCCTCCTGTGCCTCCACCCCGCCTTCACTCCACACCAGCAAGGGACCAGGGACTCACTGTAGGGGCCAGTGGCCACCAGCCTGCAGTCCACGCATGTTCCGTCTTTCCAAGCACAGGCCTCCTGGCCAGGCCCTGTCATTCCCCAAACACAGAAGCCCCTGCTGGATCAGCAGCAGACACACAAAGAAAGCAGGAATACCGCATAGCCTGGAACCCCTGCACTCAGCGTCCCTGTGTCCATCTGACTCCCCGCTGCCCCACGAATGAGGCCTGTCAATCGGTCCCAATCCTCTCACTCAGGGACCAGGGCCCTGCAGAGGCCCAAGTAATGGGCAGAATCAGCCCCGAGGCTCTGCTCCAGCCCCTCCCACCCAGTGCGGAGGAGCCTCCCTGCTTTCACCAAGGAGAACCCCCATTTGCACTTCCGGTTGGGCTGGATGGAAGGGAAATGGAGCCACCGCAGCAGCCCTCTGGCCAAGCAGGCACACACAGCGTCCTGAGGCTGATGCAGACCTGCTGAGACTCTAGGGCTCCGCCCTAGCAGGGACCAGCACCTGTGAGCAAGCCCATGCCCCAACTGCCCTGAACCAACCACACACAGCTCAACCACACACTGAGGGCCAAGAGACTGCAGGAAGCAATGAGCACGGCAGGGCATGGGTGCGCGTGCCTGCAACCCCAGCACCCGGGAAGCTGAGGCAGGACTGTGCGTTCAAGCCCAGCCTGTACAACTCAACAACTTAGCAAGACCTTTTCAAAATAAAAAAACAAGTGTGCAGTCAGAGCTCAGTGCAAAGGCCCTGGGTTCAATCCTTGGTACTGCGCATGCACGAAAGGACCAGGAACACAGAGGCTGCTGGACACTGCATCGGGCTGCACTGCTGTCTAGCAGAACCCAGCACTGACGGAATAGGCCCGCTGCTATGCTGCCCTGCACAGTGCACACGCGGGCCTAGAACGCGGAGAACCCTGCACATTGTGCATGCGGGGCCCCTCCCAGTGAGCGCTCCTGTAGAACTGCGTTACAGGAGAGGTCCACGCATGCGCACTGACCAGGGCGGAGCCCCCAGCACTCAGACTCGGTAAGCAGCCATAGGCGTAACCATCTCGAAAGGGCTAAGATCCCCCCAAGCCTAGCCCCTCAAAGGATCCAGTGCTGGAGACGGTTTCCTGGGTCCTCTTCCAGGGTGCAAGGAGGACGGAGGGCAGACTTGGGGCCGCTCCGGCAGCCCCTGCAGCAAATTGCGCCATGAACTTCACAGCAGGGCAGGAGAGACAGCATTCAGCTGTACCGGGGGCTGGGGAGGCAGCTCCTGAGGACATGGCGTGCAGTGCCAGCCCTTCCACGGCAAGGATGAGGTCAGAAAGAATGAGCAGAAGGCTCTGAGATCTGCACCTGCACGCACAGCTCCCCCTCCGAGCCCCGGACAGCTCCCAGGCCCTAGGCCAGCTCAGCTCTGCCCGGAACAGCTGCAGGAGCTCAGCAAGTCACTACAACCCCACAGCCTTCGTCTCCCCATCTGGGAAATGGGGACGCTGCCCTGTCCCTCCCCTACTCTTCCTTGGATGCTACAGGGCATGGGGCGTGCAGAAGGCCGGCTGCGTAGTTAGTGACCGCATTCGCCCTCGCCTGCAGATAGTTCTAACAAAACGGCCCTTGGGCTGCCTGCTGGGGCCCTCACGTGTCCAGGTAAGAGGTAGAGGCCTGGCAAGAGAGGACGGAAGGAGACACAGTGAGAGGTGAAGGCCACATTCTCTGAAGTTCTGCAAAGGTGGCTCCTGAGGTGCAGTGTGCAAGGGCTCTCTGAGCCATCACTGGTCTCCACTGTGGAGAAGAGGGTTACGGTCCCTGTTCTTATTAAAGCCCAGGTACCTGTCTGTCTATCTCGGAAAGGTGGGAGCTGCGAACAAGATGTGACTATTGGTTATCCAGGAGACTTCCTTAGGATTCAGCCCCACCCCTCAGCCAGGGACTCAGGAAGCTCCCCAGGAGCCCACACATCCCAGTTCCAGTTGGAAGCTCCCGCTAGGGGAGCACAAGCACCTGGTCACTAGGCCGTGCAGGCGCCTACTCAGGCTCTGGCTCCTCCCACAACAGAGGTGCAAGACAGGACCATGGTTGCCATCCACAACTCCAGGACCCTATCAGCCTGGAATCGAGTTTTTGGGATTCACATGGAGGCAAAGCCCGCCCTGAACCAACACCACACTCCTTTTGGCCTTCCTTTACCCCACTTCAAGTGCACAGTCTATATTTTAAATCGAACAAATGTGTGTCACCCAGCCTGACCCAGCACGACCCAGCAGGGGCTCAGTACAGGGACACCTGTGCCAACTGTTTCTCTAAAAGCCAAATTCTCCTTCCCACCCCTGGGATCCCTAGGGCTGGGACAAGGAGCTGCAGACGGCCATGGAGGTCAGTCTCTGGCCACGGCAAGTGTCTCATGTTAGTCTCCTTCCGTTCTCCCTTCCCTCAGGTCAGCCCAGCAGGGCACATGAGCTCCAGGCTGCAGGCTGCCACACCGGACCAGGGTTTCTTCCTCCTCCAAGCGTGACACCCCTGGACCTTTGTGCGGGCCCCCAACTCTCCACTGAGGCTCCCTACCCAAGCTTCCTCAGGGTCAGGCCGGGTCTGCTCTTGGTGTCTGGGCTCCACACAGTACAATAGCTACACCAATAGCCTTCTCCCACAGCTGGTCCAACACGGGGACCGTAAAGCCATCCAGACACCTCTGTACTCAGACATCTCCCTCCAATTCTGGGGTGACAAGGGGCCCTCCGGGGCACATCTGGAGAACAGCAAAGCTACTTCTCTTCCCCACAAACCTCAAAGGAGCCCCACAGTCCCTGTTCCCATCGTGCCCTCCAGCAGGAATGCAGCCACCGCTCCCACAGGGCTTCACAGGCCACTCGCCATGGGTGACCTTGGGCCAACTACCCCCTGCTCAGAGCCCTGGCGCCTGGACTGGGAAGGGGAGACCACCATCTCCACCATTCACGGGAACTGCGGACGCTGACGTCAGTTAATGCTGGGCAACGGAAAAGCCTGGGCTCCTGCCCGGTCATGGAAGAGCCCTGGAAGGAGGCACCGGGCAGGGCAGGCACAGGGGCCAGGGCTGGTCCTTCCCCCCGACCCGGCCCCCCGAGTCCACCCTGGAAAACGGGCCCGTTCTTTGGGTCCCTCTTCCCGAATCAGCACCAGGACGCTGCGCTGCCCAGAGGCTGGCCCGGATTCGGAACAGAGAGGTTCGGTGACCCGCCCAAGGTCACACAGCCGCCAGGTACGGGAGGGGAAAAGGGGATGGATGGGGCCGTCCCCCGGGGACCCCGCGAAGGCGGGCTGGACCCGAGGCCTCCGGCCCCGGCTTCCGCTGCGGGCCGGCCCTCCCCTTCTGGTTCCGCGGGCGGTGGCCCGGCGGCGGGCGCGGCTCACCGGACTTGGGATAGGTGACGATCCACACGTCGCTCGGCCGCACGGGGAAGTTGGCGATCTCCTCCATCTTCCCGCGGCAGAAGGGCGGCAGCCGCACGCCGTGGAACTCGAAGTACTTGCTCTCGAACTCCCCCGGGGTGCTGGGGGTCTCGGCCTCGCTCTCCGCCATGCCGCCGCCCCGCGCCCCTCACGGCCCCCGGCGGCCGCAGCTCCGCAGGCGTGACGTCACGGCGCCGGCGCGCGGGGGCTCCGCTCCGCGGCGTGACGTCACGGCCGCGCCCGACGCACGCCGGCCGCCGCGCGAGCATGACGTCATGGCGCCGCGGCACGCCCCGCCCCGCCCCGGCCGGCGACACGGCCTGCAGACCCCACACATCTGGTGAGTTTGCTCCTGCGCTCTGCAGGTATCCAGGGCGCACCTGGCTGCACCCCGCACCACCCCGCGCCGCCCCGCGTTCCCGAGACTCCTCAAGGAGAAAGAGAAGTCCGAAGCCTGGCCCTCCTGGACCTGCATTTGCAGATCACCGAGATAATTTCATAAGGTCATGATAGGTGACAGAATAAGTCCTCTAGTGACCCGGGAGCAGAAAGGGTCTGGAAATGCAGGTTCCAGGGTCACCCCCAGAACCTCAGAGCGTGCCTGTGTCTAGCTAGTAAGACGCTTAGGGTGCAGACCATAAGTTGGGAACAACCAGATTTTACAGGGAGTTTAGTGAAGCCTGTTGTCAGATCACTCACTCGACAAACAGATATTTACACAAACCCACTAGGAGGACGACAAGATGAAAATAATCCAGTCATAGCCGGGCGTGGTGGCTCACGCCTGTGATCCCAGCAATCCCAGCACTCAGGAGGCTGAGGCAAGAGGATCGCCACGAGTTTCAGGCCAGCCTGGGCTACGTAATGAGACCCTGTCTGAAAGAAAAACGAAAAAGAATACAGTTGTGATCTGAGTATCTGTGGCTTAGTGTCTTGAGCCATAGAAAGGGAATATAACCCTTGTCACCAGGTGGTGTACCTGGAGGAATCGAAGGACTCTTCACTCTGAGGACTCTGCTGAGATCAGATGTCCAACACCTGTGCCTGTAGAGGGGCTCAGGGCCACGTGTGTACAGTGGGCAGGGAGGAAGCAGCAATTATCCCTGACTAGAAAGCTTGTCGCTGTCTTTCCAAAAAGAAAAAGAATATTCCAGTGGTGCAGATATTAGGGTAGTGACAAAAGTATATCTAGTCAAAGACCATAGAAAGAGTTATATTCAGCAGAGTTGATGATTCTTAACAGAGTGATGAACAAGTAAGCCAAACACAAAAGATATGTTTTATGATGGCATTTATACACAGCTCAGGGACCAGCAAAACCAATTGTTTGTTGGGGTCTGTACCTAGGTCCCCCAAACCCACAAACGGATGCACGGCAAAGACTCAATGGAATGAGGCATGCGGCATGGTCTTTAGAGCTGCAGGAGTCAGATCCTTGGCAGAGCTAGAGCCGGCCCGCTGACTGACAGCCTATATTTAATCAGAACAAGCAAGGAGCTCAGTGGACAATGGAGGAAACCTGAGCGGGATCTTGGGAGGGGTTCAAGGACCCCTCAGAGCGACAGAGGATGCTAATTAAGGGACACTATGGAGAAAGTCCCCAGGGGGCCTCAGCTGTGGCCTGTCTTGCGCCCTGAGGTTTCTCCTAGTTCTCAGTTTAATCATGCCCGAGCCACAACCTGGGCATGTATTCAGCTTCAACAGCTCCAACAATCTGTAATGAGAGAAAACAGCATAGTGTTAACTGGGGACAGGTATGAGGGCCCCAAACTTGAGGTCAGTGCTGTGTGGTCCTGACCATTTGTCTTTGAATTTGTATTTTGTCAGTGGAATGAGGGAGGTTGCATCTAGGACTCAGGGTCTCGGCGCAGGGCCAGCTCCACCTGCTGGCTTTCAGAGCAAGCTCTTGCCCCGCTGTCCCATCCTGCAGTTAGTTTCCATCCGTGCCTCTTTCCTTTCCCTTACCCAGTGCCTAAAGGGATCTGGGCACAGCCTGCAAGGAAACCTTGGTTCATAGTCATCCCATGGTGGCCTCTAAGAGCGGGGCCCAGCCAGAGCACTGCAGCACACTTGGTGAGTTAGCAGTGGGGACTCTTACCCCAATGCGGGCCCTGGTTCGTGGGGGAATGCAGTGCAGTGCCCTCTGCATGGTGGATCCATGGGAGGAGGAATTTCTGGTCTTAGTTCTCTGCTCCCAGACAGGATGTGCTGATCCCATGGGTAACAGGAAGAGGAAATGACAACTAGTGGGCTGCGTTTGGAATCATGGGGCAGGAGCCCCAGGCACCCCATGAGCACCCCAGAGCACGAGAGAGAAACATGAAACGGCGAATAAAAGTGCCACAACACTGAGGTAGAAACAATGGAAGACATTGAGGGCGGAGGGGAATTCATGGATCAAAGCAGCGCTTCAGTGGAAGGTCTTCACTTTTTTCACATAAAACCTCTGATAGAGCCGGGCATTTAGCTCAGTGGTATGAGTGCCTGCCTGGCAAGCGCGAGGTCGTGAGTTCGATCTCTGCTATAAAAAAAAAAAAAAAAAAAAAAAAAAAAACATAGAAAGCACCTGAGAATCTATGAAAAGACACTGCGACTATTAACTTTAGTGAGATCAGACCATGAGACCAACCAAAAAATATACTCCTATTTATCCATCCTAGCGCCAAACAAATGCAAATCTAAAATTTGAAAATGTTTGCAATAGCATCAGAATATAAAGACTTAGAATAAATTTAAGAGAATATGTACAAGGTTTTTGTATCAAGAACTATACAATGTTGATGAGTGAAATTAAAAAGCTACAGAAATGGAAGGATGGACCAGGTTCTACAGTACCTGCTCCCCTCGAATGTTGATTCAGTGCCATCCCAAGCAGAAGCCCCGGGTCGTCTATAGAAATTGATGGCATGGTTGAGAAGACAAAAGAATTCTGAAAAAAGGTAAAGTCGGAGGACTCACCGCACCTGATTTCAAAACTTACTAAAAAAAAAAAGAGGTAATTCAAGACTGTGCAATTGGCAGAAATGTGACCGTGCAGATCAATCACACGGAACACACAGACACCTCAGAAATGAAGCAAGCGCATAGGAGCGATTGTTTTTAACAAAAGTATCCTTAAACAGCACAGAGCAAGTCAGGTTCAGGGGCACACGCCCAGCCCAGGGAGGCTGAGGCAGGAGGATCACCAGTTCAGGTAGTCACAAGGAACCTGAGCGAGCCTCAACGGTTTCGTCGCTGGAGGAAGGAGAGGGGCTGGGAATGCAGCTCAGCGGAGGAGTGCTCCGGGTTTAATACTTCGGTACCGCCAAAAAAAAGCCTGAAGCAATAGCGTCTTGCAGTGCAGAGATGTCCAGCAAGATCTGGGCTGCTTTGAGTACTGACCGCCCGTCCCTGGAGCTGTGTAAGAAGCCTCTAGCGAGCCTGCTAGCCGGAAAAGGCCCCCAGATGTGCGAATTCTCGGCCCTTTGGCGTCGCCCGGCTGCCGAGTCGGCGGGAACGCGAGTCGCTGTCCGCGGTGCTGAAAGCCCGCCGCGCCCAGGGCCTCGGCCCGCTGCTCTGGTAAGTGGAGTCTGCAGGCCTGGGTTGGCTTTGCGGCCCGCATGAAAGTGTATTTCCCTATTGCCGTGTGATATCACATCTATCGGGTTAAACTGGTTTTGGCCACGGAAATACCACGCACATGCCAAAGCCGAGAACATCGTCAGGAGCTCCTGTGGGCCGCCCCCAGCGTGAGCCAAGGCTTGCTGAGGCAGCTCTCAGCCACCCTGTCACCTCAGGTTATTTTGAAGCAAGGTCTGTGCATCATATAATTTCCTTCACTAATACTTCAGTGGCAATGCTAAGTGGAAAAAAAAAAACAGCCCTCTAAACTACTGGTCTTGGTGGAACCTGCCTGTAATCCCAGCACTCAGGAGGCTGAGGCAGGAAGATTTTGTGAGTTTGAGGTCAGCCCAGGCTACAAAGTTGGTAACTTTGAATTCATAGTGAGATATCATTTTTTTAAAAATCTCTTTGAAAACATTCCCAATAAATTTAGCCCACCTAGAAAGCCATGAACAGGTGTAGCTCCTGCCCTGGCTCCCTGTTAGTTCACCTCTTGGTTCTCCTGTCTGACCCTGGCTCTTTGCCTGTGACCAGCCCACCACCCCTGCCTGCTGATTTGCTGTGCACTCCAGCTGCACGGGAACCAACGCATCGGCTTTGGTTTTGTTGCAGGGCCTTTGCACCTTCTGTTCCCTCTGCTGTGATGCCCAGCCTTTCATCAGGCTTGTCAGAGAGGCCTCACCCCTGCAGCTTGGACCGCGGCCCAGGCTCTCGCCCTGTCTCCTCCTCATTGTGGCCTGCAGTCCTGAGAGGAGCCTCCGCTTACACACAAGGTGAGCCAGAAAGACAGGGAATGCTCACAGTTTGAAAAACCTTTGTTACGATAAAAGGCTTTGCCTTCCTCTCATTATCCGCCTGCCCGGCTTCCTGGGGCAGCTCTGGCATCCTCTCTCCTGAGGGTCTTTAGTTGCAGGGTTCCAGCTGTCTCAAGATCCTGCACTGATTCAAAACGTCCCCTTTCCATGGTCACTGTAACTTTGGGGACGAGCTGAAAGTCACATGGGGCCAGAGCTGATGAATCAGCTGGCTGCAGACAGGGCCTCATGTTTTTGAGAGCTGCCTTTCCGGTGGATGGAGCTCAGCAGCCGCCTGTGGCACTTTTTTTTAAATCACACCTGGCAAAGATGCTTGGGAAAGAGGACTCCAGAACTGCTGCAGAAAGGGTCGAGGATGATGGGATTGAGTGTGCTGGAAGCCAGAGTATTTTGAGAGCGATTCATAGCAATGTGTCTTTTAGAGGAATACTTTTTTTAATGTTTAACTATACACCGCAGTTTTTGCACACCATATTTTTGATCAGCCCTTGTATTTTCCCGTGTGCTGCTCACTGCCCTGTCTCTCAGAGGCCAAGCTCTTTATGTTTGGAAGCCCGATGAGTGAATGGGTGAATGGATGGATGAACGGACAGCACTGGCCCTTTGCATCCCACATTTACTCCTTTGATCGTTTTTCTCTTGCTCAAGGCTGTGTCTCTCAGGTCCCCATCTCCCCAGCAGCTGAGGGTCCCCTGGAGCCTCTCTGGGACACCGTGTGGGCTCTGCTATGAGGACAGGAAGAGCAGTGGCCCCAAGGAGAAGCCAGAGGAGGCCTGGTGTCTGCAGAGCAGATGGGGAGGGTGGAGACTGCCCTGAAGGTGCCTGCAGCAGGGCCCCTTCCTCCTCCTCTTCCTCCTGCTCCTCCTGGTCCTTCTCCTCCTCCATCCCATTGCTTGCAGGGCCTCCCCCTCCAAGGGCTCCACGAGCAGTCAAAGTTCACAGGAGTCACCTCTAGGGCCAGTGCAGGACCAAAAGGTGAAGGGCATGAGGAACCCCACACCACACCCCGCGTTCACTCCAATTTGCCCCCTCATCTGGACGTCCGGGCTGTGTCCTGTGATCTGTAGCGAGCTCTGCAGACAGTGCGTGATGGTCACAGGCCCTTGTGAATCACTCCTGCTATCCCTTCCACTGAGGGCAGACAGGCAGGAAGGAGAGCAGGAGTCCCCATGGAGGCGAGGGAGGGTGTCCTTGTCTGACCAGCATTCCCACCACCTCCTCAGGCTAGGGGCCAGGGAGAGTCCCAGGTCACCACAGACTGGCGGTAACTGTGAGTGTCCAGGATGCAGGCAGGAACAGGTATCAGGAGGGCCTCTCTCCCGGTGCCCTGTAGGCTGAATGGGTGGACCAGAGATCTGTGCCTGCAGTCCTGGGCTGGCAGGAGCCTGTGTCCCTGGCACTGCTGACCGGCAGGCTGTGGAAGGAAAGGAAGGCAATGTACCTCACATTCAGGTCCCTCTCTCCCGAGGCAGGACCTGGGCACATCTGGGTGGACCTGGTGGCGGGGAGTAGGGGAGGCATGTGGGGGTGGAGGAGAGCCAGCAGCCCCTAGACCACACAGGCCAGCCTTCTGAGGTCCAGGGACATCCAGGAGGATAGCAGGGACCCGCTCAGCCTCCAGGAGGGACATGGGGCACCCTCAGGACACACCCAGGCCCTCCATGCCTCCTGTCCCTCACCGGAGCCCGGGCTTTGTCCTGGAGAAGACCGAGTACACCATGCCCTTGATCTGTCCCCATATCCACAGCAGGTCTGCTGGAGCGTCAGGCAGCCACAGAGCTAACCTGGAGGAGGCGCAGCATCAGCTGGGTAAGTTGGGCTAGCAGAGTGCGCCCTGGCTGTAGCCAAGACACTGGGGCACCTGGCCTAGAGATGAGACAGGGCTGCCCAGGGCAGAGCCTCAGGGCATCACTCAGGGGAACCTTCCATAATGGATCTTTTTTTTTTTTTTTTTTAAGACAGGATCTCACTATGTGGTCCGGGCTGGCCTTGAACTCACTAGGGGTGGCCTTAAAGTTGTAGCAATTCTCCCTCCTCAGCCTCCTGAGTGCTGAGGGGGTTACAGTTGTGCCCCACCATGCCTGGCTTGGTTGATACATTTTGTCAATTTGAGGAGTTTAGAAGTTTAATAAAGTGACTCAGAAAGGAGCCACCAGGGTCCTCACTTTGTAAACATCCCCAGCCTGTGCAGGAGGACGGCAAGGAGACTGTGAGTGCCACACTGGCCCTGGAAGGGTGGTAGCCAGCTTACAGTGTAAGGGAGGACAGGAGGCTTGCCCCACCCACTTCGGCTCCTGCTGCTTTTGATGGGTTCTGCCACCTGGCCTGTTGCCCCAGTGCCAGGCCACCCAGCTTTCGGAGCCAGCCGATTATGGACTGAAACCTCCACAAACTGTAAGCTAAATCAACCTTTCCTTCCTTCATTTGGGGTGTCGGGTGTTTTGTCCCAGCAGCGAGAGAAAAGTAATGAAGACAGAATTTGGTACCAGAGAAGTGGGGTCATTTCTATGACCGTACCTGACCATGTGATTCAGGAGTCTGTGAACGGCTGTGGGTAGAGTTTGGAAAGGTTCAGAGATGTACCTGAAAGGGCAGGGCTGGGACACTTAGGCTGCTCTGTGTGGGGGATTCTGGTCAGAGCTCAGAAGACCAGAAAATCGGTAAAGAGCAGGTGTCATGGTTTATGTCTGTGTCCCCCAGCCCTCATGAGTTTGAATTGTGCATTTGTTATTCGTCCATTGTCTAGTGATTGTGTCAGTGCTCCGCCCACATAGGGGTGGAGCCAGGGTGTGATGTAATGGCAGGAAGAAGGTGTGTCTTTCTCTTTGCTGGTTTGAGCTTGCTGTTTCGTCGGGTGCCATGAACTGCAGCCCAGCCATGCCCGCCTGTCTTGGAGCCAACTGAGTGTGGACTGAAACCTCCAAAAACTGTAAGAAATAAACCTTTCCTTTCCCAACTTTGGGCTTCAGGTATTTTGTCTTAGCGACGAGTAAAAAGTAACTAAGACAGCAGGCTTGAGAGATTTCTGCTGGGAAGAAGGACTGCACTGGTTGTTGAATTCCAGATGATGGGTGTTATGGCTTGGCTGAAAGTCCGTCTGCATTTTGCTCATGTCCAGGGACTTTGCATGAGACTGACATTAAGGGCAGCAGACTAATCTGGCAGAAGAAATTCCAAGGCAGTTCAGTGTTGAGGCAGTGGCACGGCTTTTGTAGGGGTTTTTAGCCAGATTCATGTGGTGAATCAAGAGCAGAGAGCCCAGCAGGATGGTTTATGATGTGGGTTTAGCCAGAAGGGAAGCTCCAGTAAAGCTGTGAACTGCAAAGACAGCACTGAGGAGGTCTCAGTTGCTGAGAAGAAACAGGAGGATAGAAAAGATGGCCCGAGGGCATCACAAGAAGCAGCAAGTCTCCACCCTTTGCAGCCTCAAAATTGCAAAATGGAAAAATTTTGCTTTGAGGGCAAAGCCACGGAGCACCGTGTTCCAGGATGGCAGCAGCATAGAAAATTTGTTCCTCAGAACTGGATTCAGAGTGCCCACTGATCCAGGCACTTAACCCTTATGGCCAAGAGAAAGGGAAGCCTGGCTACTGCTCTAGCTGGCAGCAGACCTTGGCCTCGTCCACATGGTGCTGGTTTTAGGTGCATGCAGAATGCAAGAGTTATGGGGTTAAAAAGACTTCCACCCCAATTTCAGAAGGCCTGGGAGGCCAGGCTGTGAGCCCCTGAGAGGGCAGTGTGTGAAGCTGTGAGTGTGAAGCCAGAGGTGCAGGGAGACCCCAGAAGTTTGGAAAAGCCAGGAATGTGGGTAGTCTAAGGAAATTCTCAAGGAGGGAGCAAAGCCAGCCCAAGAGAGAAGCCCACCAAGTGAGGCATCTATGCCACACAGCCCTGTGAGGGACACCCCAAAACTGAGGCTCAGTCTGGGCAACAAATCCAGGAGACTAAGCAAGACATAGCTGGAACATCATCTCCCTTGTTCTAGGCCTTGTGCCTCTACTGACACAGCCTGTGATGAACGTGTAGGTTACACAACACCAAGGACAGATTTCCCCGTGTTCTGGATAGATTTCCCAGTAGGGTTTGCATGGCTGGTGGGCAGCGAGGGGCAGCTACAAGTCACTGAGGCCGTACAGTGGGACAGTGGCCTCAGGTCCCAGACATGGGGTGCACCCTCCGTCCCCCTCCCTGTCCCAGACCAACCTCCGGCTCCGGTAGTAGACGTACTCGAAGGGCAGTGACCAGGGCAGCAGCAGGTAGGTCAGCGCCCTTCCGGGCCCCGAGCGGTGGAAGCGTGTCCAGACGCTGGAGTCCCTCTGACAAGTCTTCTTCAGGGCTGCAGGGACAGCGCTACGTGGTCCCCGGGAGCCAGCAACACCCCCGCCAGGCCCCCAGATTGCCCCCCACGCCCACCTTCTGCAGGGCACGAGGTGCTGCTGGCTAAGCCCCCTGCCAAGGGCTGGCAGGGCCACCGAGGCAGAGCACTTGTGCAAGGTGTGACCGACCCAGGTCGGCCTCACTCCCAGGCTGTCTGCCAACCCCGTGCCTCAGGGACAATGCGGCGGGGACAGTGAGGTGGCTGCGTGATTCACAGCCCCTGTGACAACTTCTCCAGCCCCGGGGAGTGGAAGCGACTCCGTCCAGAGATGACACACCCAACCCGGTCTAGGGTGGAGGGCTGGGGACAGGCGTGACCTCCTGGGCAGGCAGGGCAGGACTGAAGGCCAGAAGGCCAGGATGGACCCCCTGTGTGGGGGGTCTCAGGGTCCCGCTGGAGCTCTCAGCCCAGAGCTCCACCCCAAGGGCTCAGCACACACCAAGGCCAGTTATCTCTTCCCCTTGCCCTCACCCTGGCCTCCTGTCCCTGCTGGCCTCGCCCACTGCCCCAGCTTCCTGCTTCCACATCACTGCTCCACTCTGACCACTGTGTGTCTCCTCGGCTGCAAGCAGGACACGCAGGACACCTCTCAAAGGCTTGGCTCCCCAGGCCACTTGCCCACCTCCCCCAAACTCATCTCTGCAATGCCCCTGGATCTCTGTGCTGTAACCACAGACTCCCCAGCCCCAGGACCTTTGCACATGCCAACCCCTTGCCCAACTCTGCCTGGCCAACATTGCTTCTCTAGTTTCTCTCAGATGCCTCTCTCTCTTGCCTCTCCCCATGCCTCTGAGCCTGGGTCCTCTCCAGCTATTGTATTAGTGATGACACCTGGCTACCTGGCAGGACAGCAGGCCAAAGGTATCAGAGCAGAGCTTAATTGGGTCATTTGCCAGCTGTGCACCCTTGGGTAAGTTGTTCAATTCCTCTGTGCTACGGTTTCCTCCTCAGTCCTGGGAGCAATTCTGTCCCATCCTCAGAGTCGCCAGAGGCTGACAGCAGCCCTCCCTTGGGAGGCCCAGAAACCTCCGTCTGTGTCTCCAGTTACCTCCTGCTGAGTCCTGGCTTTCTCAGACACAGGCCTCGGTTCAAATCCCACAGGTGGGGGCTCTGGCCCTGCCAAACCCCTGCTTGTCACTGGAAAGGGGTGGGAGTCACACTGGCCAGGGCAATTGTGAGAGCTGAGGGACACCATGTGTAAAAAGGCCCCGCAGGCCAAGCATGGTGGCACACACCTATAATCCCTGCACTCTGGGAAGCTGAGGCAGGAGGATCCCAAATACAAGCCCAGCCTGGGCAATTCATAGAGACCCTGTCTCAGAATAAAAACTAAATTAAAAAGGTCTGGAGATGTAGCTTGGTGCAAAGGTCCTGGGGTCCGTTCCCAGTACACAGTGGGGGAAAGTCCTGAACACAGTGGGCGTCCGGCAGATGAGCCCAGTGCCCGTGGAGCAGGGCACTGCCGGGGTGAGGGGGAAGGGTCCGTACCAGCCTCCAGCTCGGGCGCGAGCTGCTCAAAGCAGGCCACGTCTTTCAGCTGCACATGGGGTACGTCCCAGGTGAAACCTCCACAGCCGCCCTTGGCCGGCGCTGGCCGCTCCTTGGATACCAACGTCCACAGCACCGGTTCCTTGATGAGTCCTGGGCCGCGGTGAGGAGAGGGCTCACGGGGGCACTGACCAGCTCTCAGCGCCCGGCGGGGCCCCAGTGGACCCAGGGCTCCCCCGGGAAAAGCCCGCCCTGCACCCCAGCCCCTGCCTCACTGTGCTGCTCCTTCCTCTCTCTGAGGTCACCAGAGCCCACACCGGGGTCAGCACTCACCATTGATGCCTGCCGGCTGCGTGGCCTAACCCCTGCCTGTCTTGGTTTACATCTCGGGGCACAGGGAACCTGAGGCCTGTTCTTTAGAGCCGGGCTCAGGACTAAATTTGAGAGAGATGGATGGGCAGGATCTGGGCGGGAATCGTGCCCAACAAGGCTCCTGCTGTGAAGAGCGCAGCCGGGGGCCTCTAGCCTTGGGGGTGCAGCCCCTGCCCTGCTGTGCCTAGAAGGCTCCTGGCTGCCCCCACCTCCAGGAAGCCCTCCCAGCTCACCTTCTCCACCCCACTCAGGACAAAGGGACCGGCCCTGTCCTCGCACCCTCTCCCTCAGGCTGACTCTCTGGGGGTGACCCTGTCACCCTGCACCAGGCTTCAGGCAGCTGCGGTGGAGACCTGTGTGTGGCTCCGGGGCCACCGCTACTCCTGAGGGACACGTCCCCGCCACCTACCCCGTTGCTCCAGGAACCTGAGGGCGTCCAGGTAGCCCTGTCTGGAGATGTCGGCCACCACCTGATGACACACAGGGCAGGGAGTCACGGGCCAACGTTTGTCTTTAGCCCAATGGGGCCCAGCCCGGCCCCCCACCCAGTGACCTCCCAGCAATGCTGTGGATGACCCCAACCTGCTGGACTCTGCCCCCCACCATGGGCTCCCAGCTTCCACTTCTCCAGTTCTGGCCCCTAGATAATGGGGTAACCAGACCCTGCTGGGCAGGTGGGGCCTTTGCCCAGCTTGTGTGGTCAGAGTGGTGGCCTCTTTTTCCCCTTTGGTGAGTATGTCCAGGACCAGTGGAGACAGGCAGGGGACCTGGAGCCAGGCCCCACTGTGAGAACCCCAGGCACACTCCGCAGGCCTCGGTCTCCCCTCCTGAGCATCTCTGTCCACTCAGGCTGTGAGGAGGCCCAGAGCGCAGAAATGTGGCCTTGCATGGAAATTAGGAAGCACCAAATCAGCAGAAGAGGGCTGAGCCGGGGAAAGTCCTGGAGAGGAGGATCTCATGGCGTGGACCAACGGTCTGTCGTCAGACTTCATCTTCCAGAAGCTCTCAGGGCAGCGCTCAGGAAGCCCAGGCTCACTGTCCGTTTCTCTGTGGACCTATGCCTCTACAACCGATGGGCAGTGCGGCCAGTGTAGGACAGTGGCCAAGAGCAGAGCCTCAATCTGGGCTTTCCTGCTCCTGGCTTTGTGGATTTGAACAAGACCATTAACATCTCTGAGCCTTCCGTCTTCCGAGAGGTGGAGATGACCAGGGCCTGCTCACAGAGCCTGGCAGGGCGCTGGCACAGGCCAAAACCCAGTTCCAGTTCCAGCGGTGCCCTGAGATGGAGGCCAGTGTTCACTGGACGCTCAGGAGGATCAGAAGGGACGGCATGACCACAATTTGGGCCCCAAGCTTCGGATGCCCAGGCTGAGTGTGCAGTAGGACACGTGAAGCTGAAGCCCTGGGGGCGGCCCCAGCCCTAGCCACGCCTCTGCCGGGGAGGGGCCGGGCCTACCTCGGGTTTGGGGGGGAAGAGGGAGATGTAGCCCAGGTAGATGTTGGCGGTGCAGATCTGGAAGCTGGCGCTGAAGGCATTTAGCTCGTGCAGACTGGCCGAGGTGCTCCTGGGACAGATGTCCGCAGTCCCGTAGTACGGCGAGATGGTGATGGTGGAAGCGCAGTTGGCAAAGGGCACGTTGTTACTCAGCGCGCCGTCTATGTAGCGCTGCAATTCAGAGGGACAGGTGGGCTGGCGGGGTCATGCAAGGCACCCATGACAGAGGGTCCCCAGGGGACGGAGCCTCCCCCAGCACAGCCTCCCGGCCTCGGGCCTTCCATTCCCCGAGCACAGGGAGGGCGTGGACACCCACCCCCAGGCTGCACTCACCTCCCCTCGGAACGCAGGGGGGATGGTCCCACAGTATAAGGGCATGTACAGGGTGCAGACCAGGGCCTGGGGAGACAGCGCGGACCAGGCACCTGTCACCTGGGCTCTGCACCTGCGCCTGAGTCTGCTCCCCCACACAGGGCGCTGACCCCGGTCTCAGGTATGGATGAGGGACCCGGAGGTCAGGGAGGACTCCCACCTCACCCCCTCCTCTCTGCAGACCGCCCCTCCCCGGCCCCCACAGACACGCAGAGGTCCTTCATCTCCCTCATCTGTCTGCCCAGAACTGGCCCCCAGCCCACGGTCGACTGGGTCCTTGGAGATGGGCTCCTTATCCGAGCCCCCCACACTGAGATGTGAGTCCCACGGAGGCCTGACTTCCGTCTGTCAGTTTCCCTGGGAGGGTCAAGGGTGCTTGGAACAGGCGCTCCATAAAAGCCTCAAAACATGCTGGGTGGGGGTCAGGCCGGGCAGGCACCCTCTGGAAACAGCAGCCCCCGGCAGGCTCCGACTCTTTTGCACACCCAAGGGCGCTTCTGAAGCAAACACACTCCCCTTGCTCTCCTCTGGGCACCTGCTCCTCTCCCCACACCCCTGCAGGCTCCCACAGCAGCACCTGCCCGCTGTCCCCAGAAAGCACCCGGATGGAAGTCCCTCCAGCACCAGGGGGAACCCCCAGGCTGGATCACAGGGCCACTCACCTGGATGAGCTCCTCTTTGGTGGCAAAGTCGGTGACTATGTGGTTGTGGCCATCAGGCCAGTGGGTCAGCGAGATGCCCAGCCGCTGGGAGGCCAGGATGTGACAGTCGTCGGGCAGGGTGTCTCGCAGCTGCTGCTGGATGTATTCAATGGGCGCATAGGCCGGGTGGAAGATGCCCAGGCTCAGCTCCTCCACCAGCTTTACCATGCCCAGGAGTTGGCAGCAGCAGAAGTCTATGGGGTGGGCGGAGAAGGGGAGTCCTTAGCCCAGGGACACGGTGCCCGTGGTGGGGGTGGAGGGCAGGGTGCGCCCCACTGCTCCTCAGAATCTCCCTGGCGCACCCAGGATTCGGAGGCTCCAGCTCATTCTGAGCTCAGGCACCCTGCTTTGCAGAAGTGGTAACCTCGGTCCCTGGATCCAATGCACGCTGGGATGGATCGCGCTGGGTGTGAAGACCTCATAACACAGCCAGGCAGAGCTCCCTGCCTCCCCCCCAGAATAAGCCTCCTTGGGGTGTCCCCCAGCTTTGGGGTCCCCCTCCCTCACAGCCCAGGACGCACCCACTGACTTGTTGCAGATGATACTGATTGCGCTGAGAGCCCCCGACGAGGAGCCATAGAAGCGGTGGGCGCCCTGCAGGAGGCGCGGGGCATGCTGGCTCAGGCAGTGGATCACCCCCACGTGGTAGAGAGCCAGGTAGCCGGCACCTGCGAAGGACAGGTTCCAGCTGCCCTCCTCCAAGAAGTCCATGGGGGAAAGGGACTGGCCGCGCAGGGGGTGAGGACGGATGACCAGCTGGTCCAGGCCAGGCTGCAGGCCAGGGATGCACGGGGTTGGAGCCCAGATGCTGGGCTCTGCTCTGGCCAGGCACCCTGCTCTCAGCCTAGGTATCCCCAGCCCTACCCCGCCCTAGGCTGAGTCAGCAGGGCTGGGCCAATGGGGTTCCCGGCCTGCAGTGAACCCCCAGTCCCACACCCACACACTGAGGTCAAAGATTTCTGTGTGAGAGGACTCAGAGCTGACACCCAACTTCACCTACCATAGGTGGCCGGGGTGGGGGCAGGGACACTGTCTCTGTTGTCATTTTTCTGAGGGGGAGGCTGGGTGTGGCCAGAAGAAGGGACAGACAGCAGAGGACAGCACCCCCCTCTCCGCACCTGCCCTGAATTCAGCAGTCTTTTATGTTTTTCCAAGTAAAAAATTTTGATGCCAGGAGCTGAGTTCATCGCTTATAGATACACCAAAGCGTGGCCCCTGCGCGTTTAGATCAAGGCCGGCTACACCAGTATAACAAATGGCAACTTTTCTAAAAGGCTGTGGTCAAAGGGACGATTTGCTTCACTCCAACAGGAAACTGATTCGCACTGAGACAATGAACCCCTTTTAGGACACGAACAGAAAAACCTTGAAGGCATAATTGTTCAAAGACCCCCGCAGCTGATATTTCCTTCCCATGAGCTGATATTTCCTTCCTAGTTGCTGGGATTCTAAAACACCCTGTCATGGCTGCATGAATCTTCGCCACCATGAAGTCCCCCCAAAAGTCCCCAGGAGCCCATCAGGGAGAAAGAGGACACAGAGGAAGAGGGCACACAGCAGGGCACAGGACAGTCTTCTTAGGGGGACGGGAAGGCCAGAACTCAGGGAGCTTTGCAGTCCAGAGAGGGGCAGGGAGCCTGGAGTGCAGCTGCCGGGCACAGCTGCCCATGCCAACCCCTCCGCCGCCCTCCACCAGCACCGTCCTGCATTCTGGGAGTCCTGTGGGTCACCATCCAGGAGGCTGCATGGTGAGTACCCCGGAGGAGGAGCCTGGGCAGATTTGAGGGCTGGTGAGCAGTGGAGAGAGGATGGGGCACGGCATGAAACTGTAAAGGAAGACATGGGGAGCATCTGAAGGGCGGCCCTGCTTGGAGATAGGGTTCCCGGGGGCCTCTTGGTGGGGCAGAGGGAGCTGGGGGTCAGGAGAGGCTCTGGGGGAGGCTCAGTAAGTTTGCATCACACCTCACAGTAGTCACCGCGGACACACTGCAGTATTCACGCTCTGTCTTAGGAGAGAGGAAGATCAGCCCCATTTTATAGATGAAGAAACTGAGGTACAAATAGGGGTCCAGTCAGGGAGAGGCAGACCTGGGAGTCTATGGGCCTCCTGGGGGGCCCTGGGGAGAGGGAAGGGAGGAGTTGGAGCCTGGGCTGCAGCCAGAGGGCTCTGCAGGGCTGCGGGGAACAGGGCCTTGGGCAGGTCTTTCCAGGGGCCCACAGGAGATGGGAGAGAGCTCTGGGACAGAGCCCAGCTAGCTCTGCAGTGTGGCACGGTTAAGGGCAAAGTGTAGAACGCATGGATAAGGAAAGTACTACTAGGCGCTGTGGAGTATTATTCAACCTGGAAAGGAGGGCAGTCCTGTTGTTCCGCTCTTCTGGCTGGCACTGGAGAATATTGTGCAACAGCAAAGAAGCCAGGCACAGCCCGATGGAGCGCTGCGTGCCCTGGTTTGTGTGTGGCAGATGAAGCAACCGACCCGGAAGGAGATGCTGGTTCCTGGAGACGGGTGGGGGTGTGTCAGAGGGCACACAGGGGTCAGAGGGAAGAAAGGGGTTACCTCTTCCCTTTGAGACTCATCACAGCTGGTGCTGGGTTGAGTTTACCATATTACCCTGTCCACAATGGCCACGCAGCTGGTCTGCTCACAGCTCTGCACTAGGGAGGTCAGGCAGGGAGAGCCGGAGGCCCAGACATCAGATATCCTTGTCTGTGCAGCCAGGCTGTGGAGAGGGCTCGGAGGCCAGGGACACTGGGGACTTGCCGGGGGCAGAGGCTGGGGCTCCTGACCCACGCTGTCCCTGACACAGGTTCATTCCCAGGGAACAGAGGATAGATCGGCTTCTCACGGCGTTCCCAGCTCTGCTCTAAGAGGAGAGGGGTCCGAGGCCAGCGAACCCCGTGGGCCTGGGTTTCACCACTGCCCCTGGGGACCTGGGCAGCGTCCAGGTGAGTGGGAGCCCATTGTGTCTGAGGACGGGACCTCTGACCGCAGTGACACGGCATCAGCCTCCACTGCCACCTCCAGACCTCACCAGCTGGCACCAGTGCACCCCTGTCTTCCCCCCATGGAGCTGGGCACTGTCTTAACCTCCATGCCTAGCCCAGCGGGGCCTGGGGCCACCCCATGTCACTGCACTAAAGATGTGACAGAGGAAGCCGACCCAGGGAGGCTACAGACCTGGAGCCCCTGGGTGTCTGGGCCAAGGTCCCGAGCCATGCGTGGCTGGATCTGGGCACCCACAACCACCGAAGAGGGATTCCAGAGGACTTAGAAAATCTGGCCTTGGTGACCAGGGACATAGCTCAGTGGCACAGTGCCTGCCAGGCCAGCATGAGGTTGTGAGTTTGATTCCCAATAGCAACAAAACAAAACAAAAACAAACAAAAGAAAGGCCTTCGCAGTGGACTTATGTGCTTGGTTTTGTGTTGTTTTGGGTTAGAGATGATCAGGTGAGTGGATGGCGTGTTTGAGACCAGTCTGCATGTCTTAGCAAGACCCTGTCTCAAAACAAAAAATAAAAACAGACCTGTGATCCTAGCACTTAGGAGGCTGAGGTAGGAGCAACCATGTGAGTTCCAGGTCAGCCTAAGCTACACAAAAAAACCAGTAAATGAAAAATAAATCCAAAGGGCTGGGGTACGGCACAGTGCCAGGGCCCCGGAGCCAGTGCTGGAAGGGGAGGGTCCTGCAGGGAGGTCAGGTTGGAAGTGAGGAAGGGACGCGGATGCGGAGTGTCCGGCCCTGGCCCCGGAGCAGCGGCCTGCCGGGGTGGCCAGGCAGGGCTTCCGGGCGTTTGGGGAGAAGCTTAGAGCTGTGTCGGCTGTGCCGAGGACCTGCCCTGCCCTTCTCCTGTGAATCGAGTGACCCAGCAGGTGTGCCTTTCCTAGCCCACGGCTTCCCCGGGGACGCATCGCTGGGGCCACAGCCTGGCCTGGAAAGGCTCCAGTGGAGGTAGCTGAGTGGCCGGTCTGGCAGCGCTGCAGGTCCTGAGGGCGGCCTGGGGGAGGCCTGTGGGCAGATCTGTGGCGTCAGGGCTCCTGGGTTTCACCAGCCTGGAGCTCTCAGAGTGACAGCGCATTATTTGGTTGTGAAAATGCATTTTATTTTATTTTCATAAAACAAGGAGGAGGAAAGCTCAGCCCCAGCAGGGTGGTGGGGACAGGGCTGGCTTCAGGGCCTTCCCCCTTCCCAGGTCTCCCGTCCCCATCAGGATGAAATGGCCGCCTGTCCTTGCCTGGCAGTGCCCACTGTGCCCTGGGTGTGAATGGGGGGTGTTGCTGGGCTCCCTCACCATCTCCCTGAAAGGGTTGCTGGCCCAGACCGGACACTTTAGCCAGGAAAAGCCTCAGCCGGAATTAGGGAGCCCCTGCCTCCCCCGCCCCTAGAGATTTACCTGTAACCCTATACCCCTGCTCTTAGTAACCTACCTCTGGCGCCAAACGCGTGCCAGTGAAATACCTGTGCATCCCCAATACCCCCTAGGTTCCACCCCAGGCCGAGGCTACTTATGTGCCTCACTCCACGTGTTCCAGAGAAAGTGTTCCAGAGAGAGATCGCCGGCTCCGGGGTGGAGATGCTGTGCCCCGGGGGCCGGGGGGTCTCTCCCCGCATTCCAGAAATAAAGGTTACTTATATTTTATACTTCTTATCTTTGCTGCCGGCCACTCCTTCCCCCTCTTCCCCTTCTCAGACCTAACACTCCCTGGGTGGGGACTCCCCACAGGGAGCCTGGCTGGGGGCTCGGAAGCTGCCACCCTCAAGCACCGGGCACTGGTTTTTAGAGCAGGGCTGACCCAGCAGGCTGCGGGACGGTGAGGCCCTTTGGGGAACCCAGGGAGCTTCCCTGTGTGTCCCCTGCAGCTGACCAGGCCCTGGGGGCACATGCTCAGCTCACTGTGGACACTGGAGGGTGGGGAGCTGGGACCCAGGTGGACAAGGTCCTAGAGACGTGCTGGCCCCGTCCACCCCATCTCTCCTGGCCCAGACTGCCCTCCCTGCGCCAGTTCGGAAACACCAGCACCCCACTTCCCACTGCAGCCTGCCCAACCCTTCCCAGCTCCCCAGCCGGCCCCTCATCCCTCCAGCTACAGCCCCCTCCAGCTACCCCAGGGTCCCACCTATTAAGGCCCCCAAGCCCTGGCTGCCACCCTGTGCCTGCAGGTGAGAACCCAGAACTCTCCCTGAAGGAAGCCCCATATCCCAGGGGGTTCCAGACCCTTCTTCCAGAATGGCATGGCTGAGCCAGGTCCTCACTCCTCTCCCTGGCTGGGTGCCTCAGGCAAGCCGCTCCCCCTTCCTGAGTCCTCTGGGGGCTGACTGAGCCTGCCGGCCTCATCGAGCAGGCATCAAGCCTCCTGAATTATCCCAGGAAGCACACAGGACAAGAGGCAGCTGGACCGGACCGGAAAGGGTCCCCCCAGAGCATGGGCCCGAAGGCCCCAAACCCATGGTGTAAATCAGCAAACTGGGACAGGACTAGTGCTGGAAGCGACAGCATCAGAGATGGGCCAGCTGTGGACAGAGGGGGACCGTGGGCACGAGAGGGCTGAGGCACCACGCTATTGTAATCCCAAGTACTGTGTACGGTTATCCAAGTATTGAAATCCCTTTTCCAGTTTTCCGCACCATCCAAAACGTTGTATTTGTAATCCTATTGAGACGTCATTGGAATCCCAGCAAGTTAATTCCAATCCGCACCTCCAGGGCAACCCACGGCGAGAGTAAAGACACCAAGACATGTTCCAGGTTAAGGGCAGCCAAGGGGACCTAAGTCCAGTGCCCGTGAGGACATGTGGACAAAGGCCTTGACCGTCGGCCTAGC